GCTCTTCAGCTCAAGGCGAGCGCTCTACCACTTGAGCCGCAGCGCCACTTCCGGTTTTCTGGTGGTTTATTGGAGATCGGAGTCTCACGGTCTTTCCTGCCCGGCCTGGCTTTGAACCGCGATCCTCAGATCTCAGCCTCCTGAGTAGCTAGGATTACAGGCGTGAGCCACCAGCGCCCGGCTCTCGGGGACTTTTCTACCGAGGCTGGTTTCAAACCGCAATCCTCAGATCTCAGTCTCCTGAGTAGCTAGGATTACGGGCGTGAGCCACTGGTGCCACTGCTACCCTGCTATATTAGCTGGGATTCTGTGAAAAGGGCTAATCTAGGAACTTGGTTGAGATGAGATTCTGGCAATCAGTACTCTCCATATGGTACCAGCAGGCTTTGGGCCTTCAAGGCCGAAGGACTTTGCTAGATGATGGCTGCCCAGTGCAACCTCATGAGGACAGCCGATGGCCTCACCCAGGGCATCCTGCTCAACGCCTTGCCTCTACATACATACAAGCACACCCCTACACTTTATACAACGGCTTCTATAATGTGGAGCGTACAGAATTGTGCAAGGACTTAGAATGTTGCTCACATTACATTTATATTAACACATACGGTTATAAACACTGCTTTGAGGAGGCTGGCTTCATGCTTGCGTATTAACTTTATGCCCAAATAGCCAAGGTCATTATTGCTGGTTCAGCTTTTCCTGTAACTGGGATGAAAGGCATGCCCCACCATGCCCAAATTGGCAAGGATGGATTCTTTCACACTTTTTGGTCAGGCTGGCATTGAACCTTAGTCTTACAGATCTCTGCCTCCCAAATGGGTTTGTAAGTGTGGGAAATGACATAGAATTTGAAATTTTAAAGAATCAATTAACAGGCAAAGATAAATACAGGAAGCCTTTTCAAGTAGGGAAAGGTTTAAGCTAACAAATAGGCCTAAAAGGCCAGAAAACAGCTACTAATATGATGTATTACTTTTTTTTTTTTTTTTTGGCCAGTTGTGGGGCCTACACTCTAGACCTGAGTTCTGTCCCTCAGCTCTTCACCTCAAGGCTAGTGCTCTACCACTTAAGCCACAGTGCCACTTCGGGCTTTTTCTACTTGAGTGGTGCTAAGGAATCAAACCCATGGCCTCTTGCATACAAGGCAAGCGCTCTACCACTGAGCCACCAGCCCAGCCCTGATGCATTACTTTTTAAAATGCATTTTTTTTCTGTATGTGTGCTGGTACTAGGGCTTGAACTCGGGGCCTAGGTGCTATGCCTTATCTTTTTCACTAAAGGCTATTATGCTACCATTTGAGTTATAGCTCCACTACTGCCTATTTGGTGCTTATTTGGGAGTAAGACCCCCATCTGCTCTGGGATCAAGTCACCAGTTTGACTACACTAATTTCAAAGTATGTGATATGGAGTGCAAGATTAGAAGCTTCTAGACAGGAGGAAGTAGTGGACAGGTTACTTCTTGTACACTAGGCCCCTCTCCTCCCCCATACAAGGCTTTAGTCAGCCAGCGCTCCCCACCTCTGGCTCAGTTGGGACACTCTAGCCCCAGCTTTATCCTTAGAATGGACAGCCAGCCTACTCCATCTGGATCCCAGTGCCCAGGCAGGGATTGGTTCAGGTTTTTGCTAATCCCTGTGTGGTTTTGCCTGGAGATCAGAAGATCTGGTCACATGATGATATCCAACTGAGGGAATATATTTCAGTTCCAGGGCTGGAGGAGAGGCTTCTCTCTCCTGCTAGGTATCCATCCATGAATATAAATCAATCAATCAATCAATCAATCAATCAATCAATCTATCTATCTATCTATCCATCCATCCATCCATCCACCCATGCATCCGTCTATGCACATATCATCCCTCCAGAGACATTTAGGGGTTTCCACTGTTTGGCTGTTGTGGATGATGTACCTCGAACATGACTTTACAAATACTTCTTCTCATGTTACTCTCTAATTGGGAAACACCAGTAAAGCCTGCACCAGTTCCATCGGAAGTTTGTTCTAAAGCTCCTAAGAAGATCAAAGACAAAAATCACACAATCATCTTAATCCAGACAGAAAGTCTTTAACAATGCAACATCCTTTCATGATAAAAACTCTAAAGAAACTAGGGATGCAGAGAATGTACTTCAGTATATTAAAGACTGTGTATGACAAACCCATAGCCAACATCAAACAAAATGGGAAAACCTGAAACCATTTCCACTAAAGTAAGGAACAAGGTTAGGGTGTGTGTCCACTTGCTCCATTCTTATTTAGTAAAATATTGAAATTCTAAGCCAAGGGGGAGGAAGACAAAAGAAGAAATAAAAAGGATCTGAACAGGGAAGAAGTCACATCCACTTTATTTTCAAATATGATTCTATATGTATGAGACATAAATATTGCACCAAAAAAGTCTGAATCAGGTAAACATTTTCAGCAATGTAGTACGATAAAGGTCATCCTATAAAAATGAATAGCTCTTCTATATCCCAGCAATAAACAGGCTGAAAAAGGTATCAGGAAAACAATTCCATTCATAATAGCCTAAAAACACACAGGTAGAAACAACATTGAAGAAAAAAAGTTGAAGACACCAGTATATGGAAATAACTCCCATGTTCATAGATTGGCTGTACTATCAAAAGAAACATACAGATTCAAGGAAATGCTAATTAAAGTCCCAATGTCATCGTGGTAGAAATCCTAAAATTCAGATGGAAATATAAAAGGTCCCAAAAAGCAGTTGTGCCAGGGATGGGGATGAGGTAGAGGGTGGCTCACGCCTGTAATCCTAGCTACTCAGGAGGCTGAGATCTGAGGATCATGGTTCAAAGCCAGCCTGCACAGTAAAGTCCATGAGACTCTAATCAATTAACCATCAAAAAACCTGAAGTGGCACTGTGGCCCAAGTTGTAAAGCACTTGCCTTGTGCTGAATCGCTCAGGGATACCACCCAGGCCGAGTTCAAGCTGCACAACTGACTAAAAAAAAAAAAAAAAGAACAGTTGCAATACTGGGTGTCAAATTGTACTAGAGGTGGTGAAAGTAGCTTAGTGGTAGAGTGCCTGCCTTGCAAGCATGATGCTCTGAAGCTCTGGATTAGATTCCTCAGCACCACATAAAAAGAAAAGGCTGGGAAGTGGCACTGTTGTTACTCAAGTGGTAGAGCACTAGCCTTGAGCAAAAGAAGCTCAGGGACAGTGCCCAGGTCCTGAGTGCCACAGTAACAAAATCAGCTTGGTACTGAGACAAAGGCGGACATGAAGATCAGTGGAACAGAATAAAAAACCCAGTAATAAAATACACAACTATAACCATTTGATCTCTGAGAAAGAAACCAAAAGCATACACTGAAGAAAGGAAGACAGCTTCTTCAATTAAACCATACTGCAAAAAGTGGCTGCTGGAGTGCAGAAGGAAAGTAGTCCCTTATCTGAGTGGGCCAAAGATTTTAATACTAGACCTGAACTCTTAAAAAGGTAGGGAAATCTCTGAAAGATATAGTTATAGGTTCTTCTTTTCTTTTTTGTCCAAGACTGGAACTCAAATTCAGTATTTGACACTTTTGTTCATTGGCTGGCACTCTGCCACCTGAACCATGCCTACAACCCCAGCAATTCGTTGGGTTTTTTTTTTTTTTTTTTGCCAATCCTGGGGCTTGAATTCAGGACCTAGGCATGGTCCCTGAGCTGCTTTTGCTCACGGCCAGCACTCTACCACCTGAACCAGTGCCACTTCTAGCCTTTTCTGTTTATATGGTACTGAGGAATTGAACCCAGGGCTTCATGCATGCAAGGCAAGCACTCTATCACTAAGTCACATTCCCAGCCACCAGCAATTATTTTCTTAATAAGATTCCAGCAGCCAAAAAATAAGAACAAGACTGGATATTTCCAATTTAAAAGTTTCTACATGAGCCAGGCACTGGCGGCTCATGGCTGAAATCCTACCTACTCAGGAGGCTGAGATCTGAGGATCTTGGTTCAAAGCCAGCCTGGGTAAGAAAGTCTGTGACTTTTTTTTTTGCCAGTCGTGAGGCTTAAACTCAGGGTCTGGTTGCTGTTTCTGAGCTATTTTGCTCAAAGCTAGCGCTCTGAGCCACAGCGCCACTTTTGTTTTTCTAGTGGTTAATTGGAGGTAAGTCTTACAGATGTTCCTGCTATGGATGGCTTTGAACTCAGATCTCAGCCTCTTGAGTAGCTAGGACAACAAGTGTAAGCCACCAGCACCAGGCTTGTGAGACTCTTATCTCCAATTAACCACTAGAAATCCTTAAGTGGAACTGTGGCTCAAAGTGGTAAAGCGCTAGACTTGAGCAGAAAAAAGTTCAGGGACAGTGCCCAGACCTCATGATTCAAGTCCCATGATCACCACCAACAAAGTTTCTATACACCAAAAGGAATAATTAGTAGCAGTATTTTTTTTTTTTTAACTTTTGTAGTCCTGGAGCTGAATTCAGAGTCTGGGCACTGTCCCTAAGCTCAAGGCTAGTGCTCTACCACTTGAGCCACAGCTCCACCCTTGGCTTTTTTTAAAAATGATTAATTGGAGATAAGAATCTCACAGACTTATGTGGCTTTGAACCATGATTCTCAGATCTCAGCTTCCTGAATAGCTAGGTTATAAGCATGAGCCACTGGCACCCAGAAGAGAAAATCTTTGCTAACTATTCAACAGTTAGAGGATTAATATCCTATAATATTCAAAGACCAAAAAAAATAGAAATCATATAACCCAGTTAATAAATGGGCAAATGAAAACAATGCTCAAAGAAATATAAATAACTGGTAAATATATGAAATGTTCAATTACTAGCTAAAAAGGAAATGCAAATCAAAACTAAATTGAGATTCTATTTTACCCAAATTAGAATGGCAATCAAGAAAACAAAAAACAAATTTCGGTGAGAATGTTAGCGTCTGGGTAGAAACATCCATGCACTGTTGGGGGAAATGTAAACTAGTACAACAACTACGGAAATCAGTATGGAGGCTCCTCAAAAAAACCCTGAAAAATCGACCTACTTTTGACACTATCATACACTTTGGGCATGTGTGTATATGAAGGAAAGCCAATCAAGATACAAGATACCTGCTACCCATGTTTACTGTAGCTCTGTTTATTATAGTTAAACTATGGAATCAGCAGCTAGAGGGGAAGGCCAGTGAGTACCTATTATTTACAGGATTCCTTGAGGGTAAACACAATTCACCTGGGTGGACCCAGATAACATTGGAGGCTCACAGGAAGGGCCCAGAAGCATGTCACATTACCCTACTCTTGTAGCCGTAGCTCACTAAGCAGGTCCTGCCTATAGAGACCATGATTCTTTTGGTTTTACAGAAAGAAATGCATGTGACACATTTTCAACTTCATTATCTTGCTGGCATTTTGTTAAAGGATGAAGATATGCAAATATGTCTAAAGAATCAATTTAGTGCCAGGCACTGATGGCTCATATCTGTAAGCCTAGCTACTGGGCTGGGAATGTGGCTCAGTGGAAGAGTGCTTGCTTTGCCTAGCTATTCAGGAGGCTGAGATCTGAGATCACAGTTCAAAGCCAGCCCAGGCAGGAAAGTCTGTGAGACTCTTTTTTTTTTTTTGGTCGGTTGTGGGGCTTGAACCGGTCATGGGCCTTGGTGCTGTCCCTGCACTCTTTAGCTCAAGGCGAGCACTCTACCACTTGAGCTACAGCACCACTTCCAAGTCTGTGAGACTCTTATCTCCAATTAACCACCTGAAAACTGGAAGTGGCACTGTGGCTCACGTGGTAGAGTGCTTGCCTTGAGCTGAAGAGTTCAGGGACAAGAGCCCAGGCCCAGACTTCAAGCCCCATGACTGACAAGAAAAAAAAGAAAAAAGAAAGTAGCCATATCAAATTCATTTTGTAAGAGTAGAAGCTAACCAAGAAAAGTGGTAAATTTCTGACCAATTTAAACATTCACACAACTTCTGTGACATACAGTACTAATTAGACCACGTTCCTCTGATGAAATGATATATATCTCACAAACTGAACTAACACATTCTTTTTCTCCCCCTCTTCCTTCCCACTTTCCTCTCTCCAGAAAAGCTTAACTTTAAATTTGAAAGTTTTTGTTCAAAGTATAACTTGTAATTAAAACAGAAAACTGAGAATCTACTTGAGGGACTAATAACTTTTAGTGTAAAAATAATGTAAATATATTTTTGAATTCTTTTTTAAAGTTAAAATTTGAGAGTTAGGTATCATACATTTTATTTTATTATGAAGTATATTCAATTTGGGGCAGTTATAAATGTGGCAGAAAATCAGTTTTAGACCAAAAACACATTTTCAATTAGTTGACCAAACACATAAAAACAAATTTCATTTATTTAATCTTTTTAGAAGGTACTATACAGTAAAAATTCAGTATTATATATGACAGACATGTAATTAAGTATACATAAAAGTTAAAATAAATAGCAATGATAGACTTTTGAAAAAAAATACACATTTTAATTGAGGAAAATATGATTCTAAATTATATACACATAGTTTTGTACTTAATAGAAAGCTACCTTCTCTTTAAGATTGCACAAAACATGGGACCAATAAAGCATATTTCATGGCATGTAATACTATAATCCCAAGCCAGTTTGTTCCTTAACTCTAGGATATAAAATACTTATGTTTGCAATATAATAAAAGGTATAAAATGTTGAGAAAAATGGCCTCCCTCAAGTCACACTCACCTGCAGTAAGCTCAGAACAGGTTTCACAGGAAATTTCACAAAAAGAAATAATATTCACTGTGCCCACCTCATGCTGAATAAACAGCCAAACACGGACCTTAAAATCATTGTGGTGGTCACATGATATTTTTAATACCGTATAAACTTGTGTTTAATCACAGTTGGCAATCTTAGCACAAAAAAAAAAAATTCTAGGCAAAATAGAACTGGTTTTTGCTTACTTTATTTTTGTAAATAAAATACTGCGTCGATAGGAATTAGGAAATGAGAAATACTAGTCCTTCTGGGCATGATGGCCCTGTTTGTCTCCCAGCTGTGTGGGAGTGGTGACTAGGCAGAGTATGGTTCCAGGCCAGCCTGGACAAACAAGCCAAGTATGGTGGTACTTATTTGTAAGCCACCCCCTAACAGGAGAGGCAAAGCCAGAACCAAAAATTCTACGAAGCCCTGGGTTCCATCCCTCAGTACCACATAAACAGAAAAGGCTGGACTGTGGCTTTCAAATGGTAGAGTGTTAGCCTTGGGCAAAAGAAGCTCAAGGACAGGGCCTAGGCCGAGTTCAAGCCCCAGGACGGGCAAAAAAAAAAAAAAACAACAAAACTATTGTAAAAGTGTAAACCAGGCCATGACAGCTTTGTGTGTTTATTGGTTCTGTATTCATGATTACTGTGTAAGGAAGACTGATGCAGGCGTCCTATGCTGTCCATTATGAAATTACACTTATAATGTGCTTGGTTCCATGTTACAATGATTTGTTCCAGTGACCCTTTCATCATTTCTAAGCATGTTTTCTTGTTGCATTTCCCTTTGCATTATATTGCTTTGATAACTATAATTCAAACCAGATGTGAAAGAGAACCAAAAAAAAATGAAGAAGAAGAAGAACCTGAGACTCTATTTGAAAAAAAGGGCTGGGGTGAAGCTCGAGTGTTAGAGCATCTGCCCGGTGTGAGGCCTGAGTTCAGACCCCAGTACCATCAAAACAAAACAAAAACAAAGAAACTAATGCTCATTTCCCTCAGACACTTATTGAGACTGGTATCTTAAAACCTTACTTATAACTCTTAGAACATATCCATCTGTATTATGGCACAACCCCAACTTCAAGAAAAATACACTTTAGAGAACCAGAAAAATTGCACAAACCTTAGGAGCAACCTGAAAAGCTCTTGGTGAAAAACACCTAAGTTTCAAGGGCAATAAAAAAATATGTATGGGCTTAATTACAAATATTTACATTCAAAACACAATAAGTTAGCTAGTCAGCTGCTCAATACCAACGATTCACAGGTTTTTAAAATTATTATAATGTGTCCACAGTACTTGTGACCACATTTAAATGCATAGAATTTGGTAAAAATATGATTCTTCAGCCTGTAAAACAAGCAACAGCCTAACATGTCTGTAAAACAAAACTGTTACCTAACATACCTGTAAAACAAGATTGTTTACATTTTGAAACATGTACAATTGAAAGAACTGAGCAAATATTTTGATCACACAAATCATCCTCTTAAGTACTACTGATTTCACTCATTTGCTCCACAACTTGTCCCAAAATCTCGTCGACAACATCAACATCATAGTTCACCTGCTGCAGATCAAGATCAGGCACAATCATGGCAAGAAGCTGTCCCACGTTAACTCGCAGAGATCGAAGCTTGAGGCTGTAAATACAAACGTTAACCTTACTAGATGAGCATCATAACAGATAGCTGTCATACAGAAGCTACAAATCAAAACTCTGTAGAATGATAAGGTCAAGAAATGTAAAACCTTTCCTGAATAAGAGAATTTAATAATTCATTTTACCCATAAGATGCTAACCTAGATCCAAGTAAAGTGCTTCATAAAACTAGTGGCAGCCGGACTGGGAAGGTGGCTCAGTGGTAGAGTGTTTGCCTTGAATGCATGAGGCCCTGGGTTCGGTTCCTCAGCACCACGTAAGCAAAAAGAAAAAAAGCCGGAAGTGGCGCTGTGACTCAAGTGGTAGAGCACTAGCCTTGAGCTGAAGAGCTGAGGGGACAGCGTTTAGACCCAAAGTTCAAGCCCCATGACCAAACAAAAAAAAAAAAAAAATAACTAGTGGCTCAGTTTGGTTTTTACTCATACTTTGTTTGCAAACTGGAAAAACAGAATCTACACATTAATTATAGATGTGTTATATCATATGAAAAACACATTTTTCTTTGAAAAAAGAAAAAAAGTGTGATCAAATAAGCTTGCCAAACTGAGGTAAATAAAATGTTAAGCAAGCTTGTAATTAAAAGTACAGTATTTCTCTGAGCTTGTTCTCAGGCTTACTGACTTTCCATTTATCGAGATTTATAAAGAATAGTGTCATGAAAAACTCTAGATTAAGATCATTAATATTGCCAGGTGCCAGTGGCTCACTCCTATAATCCTAGCTACTCAGGAGACTGAGATCTAGAAACTGGTTTGAAGCCAGTCCAGGCAGACTTTTACCTCTGCTTCACCAGCAAAGAGCTGAATGTGGAGCTGTGACTTACGTGGCAAAACACTAGCAGTGAAAAAGCTGAGTGAAGAGTATAAATCTCTGAGTTCAAGACCCAGTGCCAACACATAGATACGTGTGCACACACACATGCACAAATGCATATATCATGCACATGTGCACTCACAAACACACAAGGTAATTATGATCATTCCATCCAAATTTATGAATGTCAACATTTTATCCTCAAAAGTAGCTGTATGTGATGACAAGCCTGTAAGAGATCCCAGCACTCAGAGGCTGAGGCAGGAGGATCATGAATTTGAGGCCATCATGGAGTACACAGCAAGTTCCAGGCCAGACTGGCTACACTGGTAGGCCCTATCTCAAAAACTTCAGCAAGAACAAAATGCACAACCAACACAATAAATCTAAACAGAAACTCGAACACATTTTGGATCTTACTGAGAAATGATGGATAGGCATTCACTATTTTGTTTTAATAGGATGTCTGAATAATACCTATTCTGGGACCATTTCTAGTTAATTTTGTGATTTCCTACAAGATTACAGACAGACTGCATACAGTAAAAGAAGGGTAGGAACTCACTTAGGTAAAGTAAAAGAATCAGGTTGAAAAGCAAGTCTCAAAAAATATCCCCTCAGGGCAGGGAAGGTGGCTCAGTGGTAGAGTACTTGCCTTGCATGCAGGAAGCCCTGGGTTCAATTCCTCAGCACCACATAAGCAGAAAAAGCTGAAGTGGCATTGTGGCTCAAGTGACAGAGCACTAGCCTTCAGCTGAAGAGCTCAGGCCCAGGCCCAGAGTTCAAGCCCCATGACCAACCAAAAAAAGAAAAAAAGTGTTCCCGGTCATCTAGGCATGGCCAACTTCATGTGTTCCTTCAAGATCTAGCTTAGTTTGTACTTTTCCTCAAAAATGTATGATACCACTCTAAATTCCCATTTCACTTAAACGAACTAAACTGCCAGCACTTTGCAGGGATGAGGTGTGCCTTCTCTCCATTATGGGGGGGGGGGGGAAGGGAGTGGTGATGAGGTGGACAACAATGGCATCTTCTGATAAATTTGTGCTCACAGATAATAAAACTAGCTTGCCAGTCACAACTACAGCCCCAGCCAAGCTTCATGTAGATCACCTTTCCCTGTCTGTGTAATTCACAGCTTCCTCCATCCCGGAAGTGGAAACCTCTGCTCCTATTTGCTGACTTGTAGACTTCAACTGTTCAATTTCACTTTTCAGTTCTTCACACTGAGAACCAATCTGTGATTTCTCCAATGTTAGTAATTCAACCTGACCAAAAAAAAAAAAAAAGAATGTTGTAACCATCTTAACCACTGTTAAGATCCAAATATAAGCTAAGAAACATAGAGAACCACATTGATGAAATTAGAAGTATTGAGGGGCTGGGAAGGTGGCTCAGTGGTAGAGCGCTTGCCTTGCATGCCTGAGGCCCTGGGTTCGATTCCTCAGCACCACATAAAGAAAAAAGCCGGAAGTGGCACTGTGGCTCAAGTGGTAGAGCGTTAGCCTTGAGCTGAAGAGCTGAGGGACAGCATCTAGGCCCCACAACCGGACCCCCCCCTCCGCCCCCAAAAAAATTAGAAGCTATTGAAAAAAGAAAACTTTTCCTAGTGCTGAGGATCAAACCCAGAACCTTGTCCTTTTGAGGCAAGCACTCCATCACCAATCTACATCCCCAGAATCCAAATGTCTCCTATAAACAAAGTTACGTTTGTTTATAGCTCTACTTCTACATCTTTATTTTGCTTTTTTCTTGGTGGGGCCTTGCACTTGGTGGGCAGATGCTCTACTGCTTGAGTTATGTATCTACCCCTTTTACATCTTTTATAGGGGGGAGGGGGGTCATGGGGCTTGAATTCTGGGCCTAGGCGCTGTCCCTGAGCTCTTCAGCTCAAGGTGAGTGCTCTACCACTTGAGCCACAGAACCACTTCTGGTTTTCTGGTTGTTAATTGGAGATAAAAGTCTCATGGACTTTCCTGCCTGGGATGGCTTTGAACTGTGATCCTCAGACCCCAGTCTCCTGAGTAGCTGAAATTTTCGGTGTGAGCCACTGGCGCCCGGCTTCCTTTTACATCTTTTTATAGTAAGAGAAACAAAATGTTCATTTTGCCAGGCACTGGTGGCTCATGTGTGTAATCCTAGCTATTCAGGAGGTGAAGATCTAAGAAAACCAGTTCAAAGCCAGCCCAAGCAGGGAAGTCCATAAGATTCTTACTTCCAATTAACCAGCAAAAAGCTGGAAATGCGGCTGTGGCTCAAATGGTAGAGTTCCAGCCTGAAGTAAAAAAGCTAAGGGACAGCACTCTGGCCTCAAGTTCAAGCCCCAGTAATGGCACCAAAAAAAGTTGTCACTCTATTAACCAAAATTCAGTGGTCTAGAAAGGAAAACACTAAGATACTATAATGGTTAAATATATGAAAGTCACATTAGTTTTCATTTCATAGACACTCAATATTAAATTACAACACTGACTTTATACTGATCTGTACATAGACTATCATTCGGCTCCTGAGCTAACCTATCATTAAGCATGAACTAAGTAGTTACATCAATGTTCTATCAGCAGATGAGGAAACATAACACCATACTGTGCCTTTTTTTTAAAGCAGGGAAATCCTTTTAGGCGCCACATAAAACAATTATATATAATTTTGAAAAGGACCTTCCTAAATCTGAGGTGGGATACATGCAGAGGCTACCATCTATGTCCTGATATCTACCGTTTTTCTCCTTCTTCCTCAGTAAAAGAACCCTTGAAGAGAGACTGCATTGTCCAGGCACCCATTTGCCAGATGAAATCTAAGCAACCACTCTCTTTCTCCCTCCTGTAGCTTAGAACATAGATGCAATGGCTGACCTAGAGACACCCCAGTCACAGCTGCACCTTGAAAAGCAAAGAAACAATGCAAAAGTGGCCCAGATATCAGGTAACTGTGGAGCTGCCACTTTGGAGGGGTATAATGCCAGTTGTGCACAGCTAATCCTAACAATGCTTCATCTGTAAAATAGAGACATTAATACCTATTTGTATAAAGTTATCAAAAGGTATGCTTACAGTGGATGCAATGTACCTAAGTGTCTAATAGGGATGATAGTGGTATTCTGGTATACTGGATATTGATATTCTGTTCACTGGAGGCCACTAACCATACTTGGTCAAATCCTACTATTTTTCAGCAATCTTTTCAATATACTGTAAGACCCCAATATGTCAGGATATGTCCCTATGCTTCCAAAGAGGCCCACTCCCCAGTTTAGAACAGAATAGTATTAGGATTACTGAAAGTATTCTAATGCAGAACTGGCACTAAACGTTTAAATGGCTGTGTGGATGCTATGACTTACCTCGCTTTTATACTGGTCCCTCTCGATAGTGCACTTGTCCAGCTGTCTAAATACATCATCGAGTTGCACAGCCATTTCATCCATCTCACTTTTACTCTCACTGTTAGAACAGTGACTGCATTCAGCCTTTATTTGTTGCAAAGCACTACACTGGGTTTTTAGCCTTTCTATTTCCTCCAAAGCTTGCTGATACTGAGATACTATAGGGTCTGGACTTTCAGATTTGCCATTAATACTGTCAAGTAAAAAGACACTGTCAGTTTCAGTAGACTGATGGCAAGTTTCCTTCTTTACATATTTGTCATTCATTTCCAGTATCCTCTGTTGTAACACCTTGATTTGGTCAGTAAACATATGACACTGTCTCTTATAATTATCTTTTTCCTGGGTAACTAAGTGTAGCTCATTTCTCAGTTCTTGCAACTGGCAGCCAACGTCATCTGCAGACTTACTGATGGTTTCCTGGGCCTCCTGTATCTTTGCTTCAGCATCTACACAGGTGGGCAGTATTGCTAGATCATTTCCTGCCCCTATCTCATCTTCAATAGCCTCTTCCTTTTTGACAACTAAAGTCGGTGCTTCAGTCTGGGTGGCTGCAGCAGTACCCTGATCACACTTATTTGTTGAACTTGTCTGCCCACAAAGTTCAGTACAGCCCACAAGCTGAAGTGCACTTTGTTCAGTGTGACTCTGTTCTGGCTTAACTTCAATGTCATGATCTACTGCAGGTTTGGGAGTACTGTTTTCTTCTAAGATGATGACATCTTCATCATCATCAACTTTGAAAGCTGAATTTTCAAACGTTTGGTTATTCAGTCTCCGATTCTTTGAATTCAAAATTGGTGAACGAGGAGAAAATCGCCGTTTCAGGCTGGAAAAAAAGTTTATACGAGATTATAAAATGTGAATATTGAAGACAACCAGAAGTTATCAATCTAACAAACACACTACTGTAATAATTATATAATTATCATGAGATTCTAGGAAATGCCATTGTTCATTTAAAAAAAAAACTGATACCATAATTTGAACTTTTGCTCAGTTGGTGCTCTTACTTGAGCCATGCCTCCAGCCAGGCTTTTTGCTAGTTATTCTGGAGAGGAAGTCTTTCATACATTTCTATCACGCTGCCAGTGACCCGGATCTCTGCCTCTTAAATAACTAAGATTATAGGCAGGAACTACTATTTCTGTCCACATTCACTGATCAAAGGAAAAATTTATAAAGTAAACCAATATTTGCTAACATTTCATCTATAAGTTCTCTGACTCTAAAATGGACTCATTGTTTTCTTCATTCACATAGTTTCTTATAAATTTATCACGAGTACTGTGTCTCACACTGGTAAGACACCTATACTGGTTTGCTAGTTGGCCTTATGTGCCAGCCTTCTTGGTGTCAGGATTCACTTTCCATGAGTTTACTGTCTCATACTGAGATGGCACAATCTCCCACAGTACCTTCGGAAGGGAAGAGAGGACTAACAAATGTGAAATTCTACAAAATGAAAACATCTTAAGCCAAATATGGTGCTGCATGCCTATACTCACAACACTAGGAAGCTAAGACAGAAAAAGATAGTAATTTCAAGGTCATAGTGAGGTCCCTGAACTTACAAAGGAACAAAAGCCAAGGACTGGTGACTCACACCTGTAATAAGAGCTACTGAGGTTGAGATCTGAGGATTGCTATTCAAAGCCAGCCCAGGCAGCAAAGTCTATGAGATTTTTATCTCCAATTAACCATCTAAAAATCAGAAGTGGAGCAGTAGCTCAAGTGGTGGAGTGACTGTTCTAAAAACTTTGAAACTGGAAACTATTTTCTCAAAAATTAAAATATAAAAAAAATTAAAATATTTTTATTGTTACAGGTAATTCACCTTTTCCTCCCAAAGATTTCTATTTATCTTATGCTGTATAATGTTGTGACAACAGGTGTTGGAATACATCTTTTATATTTAGAGACACTCTACAGGTAGTGGAAATCAATTTTATTGTATTGACTTCTCTTCACCTAGTTCTTGTTCCCAATTTCCTACTCTGAGACTCCCTTACTCAGATGTTGTCCTCTTGGGACTGCTTTTTTTTTTTTTTTTTGGCCATAGGGCTTGAACTCAGGGACTGGGTGCTGTATCTGAACTCTTTTTGCTCAAGGCTAGCGCTCTACCACTTTGAGCCACAGTGCAACTTCTGGTTTTCTGGTGGTTAATTGGAGATGAGAGTCTCATGAACTTTCCTGCCTGTGCTGGTTCTCAACTGCAATTCCCAGGTCTCAGCCTCTTGAGTAGCGAGGAATACAGGTGTGAGATATCGGTGCCTGGCTTGGGATTGTGTTTTTTTTTTTTTAAATCATCATCCATTCAGATTCTTTTTGGTGCTAGTCCTAGGGCTTGAACTCAGGAACTGGGCACTGTCCCTGAGATTCTTTTCTGCTCAAGGCTAGTGCTCTACCACTTGAGCCACAGCACCACTTTGGCTTTTTTTGAGAAGTTTGTTGGAGATAAGAGTCTCTTCAGATCTCAGCCTCGTAAAATTACACTGTGAAGAACCAGCAGCGCCTGGCACCATTTATCCTTTTATTCTAAGGAACTTAGATGTTCATCACTACTTCACTTCTACTCAATAAGTGTCCACTATTGTCTTCTAGTCCTTTTATTTTGGATTCCTATGTGAAGATCCCACACCTGGTGGTACTTGGCTGTCTGAAGAAACAGACCAACTGGGGCAGAAAATCTGGGAGATTCTATCATCAATTAACCATGAAAATTTTTAAAAATGGAGTAGAAGTGTGGCTCTAGGGGTACAGAACCAGTCATGAGCAAAAAAAAAAAATCTGAGCAGCCCTAAGTTCAAGCCTTGGTATAAAGGGGAAAAAAGTAGTAATTCTAATACTACATCGAAGTTCAGAGAGGTAACAATTTGATCAAGTCCCACATTTAATATTTAGTACTTTCTGTGAGTGGCAGAAGTGACAAAGCGATCTGTCCCTAAGACTTCTTTTTTGGGTCCGGTTGTGGGGCCTGAACTCTGGGCCTGGGCGCTGTACCTCAGCTCTTCAGCTCAAGGCTAGCGCTCTACCACTTGAGCCACAGCACCATTTCCGGCTTTTATTCTTTTTGCTTATGTGGTGCTGAGGAATCGAACCTAGGGCCTCAGGCATGCAAGGCAAGCGCTCTACCACGGAGACACCTTCCCAGCCCTCCCTAAGACTTTTTACATTTATGCCAACTAGAATCTCCTTCAAGTGTGTTCCTACCACACACTGTCTCATGAAGGTTTTATCTGGCATCCACAAATAGAAAAACCAAATTTTGACCACTAACTTGGACTCAGGTTCAGCCTGGGGTGAAATTCGCTGGTTGCTCATGAGTCTTGTTGTGTAGGGACTTGCTACTTCGGAAAGATGTCCTCTTGGCACACTCTCCTTCACAGAAGGAAAGCTTGGGCTGGAAACAGGGGGTGTCCGAAACAGCAGGTCAGCATTGATCTGTAGGAGAAATAAGAATGAATCTTTAGAACTACTTTAATAGGACATGCCTTAAACAAAAGGTAAGACTGTAATCCCCCTACTTTGACTCTGGAAGATATTGAGAATTATTCTAAACATGTAAATGACCAAGAATCAACATAACACTGAGCCAAATGGGCCTGCCTGTGTGCTAAGAGTGGGTTTCCATTTTTAAAGGATCAGAACAAAACAAAGACCAACAGTAGTGCACGAGGTCCACAAAGCCCAAACAGCCTTACTATGTAGGACTCATCAAGACAAATTTAAAAACAAATTTTTCTTTGAGAAAAAACCTGAACATAATTAGTTATAAAAGCACTGCCTTGGGCTGGGAAGGTGGCTCAGTGGTAGAGCACTTGCCTTGCATGCATGAGGCCCTGGGTTCGATTCCTCAGCACCACATAAGCAAAAAGAAAAAAGCCGGAAGTGGCACTGTGGCTCAAGAGCTAGAGCGCTAGCCTTGAGCTGAAGAGCTGAGGGACAGCGCCCAGGCCCAGAGTTCAGGCCCCACAACCAGACCCACCCCCCCCAAAAAAAGCACTGCCTTTTGCATGGCACCAGTGGCTTATGCCTGCAATCCTAGCTATTCAGGAGGCTGAGATCTAAGGATCTTGTTTGGTAGTGAACCTGAGCAAATCTGCATCTCTCATTAAGCAGCAAATAGCCAGAACTAAAGGCATGGCTCAAATGGTAGAGTATCAGATGTGAACACAAAAGCTAAGCAAAGCATAAGGCCTTGAGCTCAAGCCTCAGTAGCAGCACACTATTAAAAAAAACAAACAAGATACTACCTTTAAAAATGAACTATACCACTTGTGGGCAGGGGAGGAGGAAACTGGAGGACACTAAAGGATGGGGCAACATTGTCCAAGAAGAACCATACTCATTACCTGATTTACGGAGTTGTAACCCCTCAATAATAATAATAATAATAATAAATTTTTATAGGCCATTATTCTTTCCCCACCTGTTTTCACCCAAAGCTATACTAGAAAACATTTCAGCATAATCATAACCAAACATACACTTCTCACAGCAGAACAAAACTTCAAAATTGGGGGAGGGGGGAGGCTGGGAAGGGATGTGAAGGGTAAACCAAAGGAGGAGGCTGCAATGCTTGGTAAGAAATGTACGCATTATCCTGCCCATGTAATTGTAACCCCTCTGTACAGTATGTTCACAAATAAAAAAAAAAAACTTCAAAATTATTTTAGTACTTATTATATGCACACAGTTCAGCTGGAGTTTTTTTTTAACATTATTTTTTTTTGTAAAGATACTATACAGAGGGTTACAGTTACATGAGTGAGGTAATGAGTACACTTCCTCTTGAACATTGTTACCCCCTCCATTTCAGCTGGAGTTTTTTTGGGTATTGTGCTAGGGTTAAACTCAAGGCCTTGCATATGCTAGGCAAGCACTCTACTACTGAGCTATTTCCCTGCCCATAGATTTTAGCTCGAGCTTGTTTCAATCTTGCAAGCATTCTGGTCCGTTCTGAGCTCTATGATTACAAGTATGCACTACCACACCCAGCAGCCAAAGCTCTGTAACACTATCAAAGAAATGTAAAGGTCAGGTTGAGTAGCCAACAAAGGGGTAGAAAAGTGGCTCCCTGGATGCTCCTGAAGGACATGGTTCCTTTTGCCAGTCATGGGGCCTGAACTCTGGGCCTGGGCGCTGTCCCTCAGCTCTTCAGCTCAAGGCCAGTGCTCTGCTGTGCTCTAACACTTGAGCCAAAGCACCACTTCCGGCTTTTTCTGCTTAAGTAGTGCTGAGGAATCGAACCCAGGGCCTCATGGATTCAAGGCAAGCGCTCTACCACTGAACCACCTTCCCAGCCCCTACTTTTTTTTTTTTAATGGTGGCACTAAAGAACTAATCATAGGCCTTGGGCTTGCTAAGTGCTCTACCATTTGGGCTAGACCTTGGGTCTTTGTTGGTGATGTTTGTTTGCTTTTAGAGTCATGCGTACAAATCCTCTTCAAACTTGTCTTCAAACTTGTAATCCTCCAGCTTCCTTCCAAGGGCTGAGATTACAGGCATGTGATACCACACATAGTTCTCTTAACAATAAAATTCTTTGGGTTTTTTTTGGCCGGTGGTAGAGCTTGAACTCAGAGTCTGGGCATCATCCTTGAGCCTCTGTGCTCAAAGCCAGTACCCTATCACTTGAGCCAAGCACCACTTTCGGTTTTCAAGTGGTTAACTGGAGATCAGAGTCTCACATGGATTTTTCTGGGGTTCAAACCTCAATCTTTAGATTTCAGCCTTTCTGAGGATGATCCTGTAGGATTAGAGGTGAGCCACCAGTGCCCAGCTAACAAAGTCTTAAAAGATGACACTCAACAAAACAATACAACTAACAGTATAACTAATAGTTAGACTATTAGTCTAGTCTAGTAGTCTAAACTAACAGTTAGGTTAGAAATTAAGAGTTAGGGGGGAAAAAAGGGCAAGAGGGATACAAAAAAAGAGACTGTAAATCTGAACAAACAAGGTCCTTGTGATTTGTTATGTAAGTCCAAAACTTTAGAATTCAGTATTAATTAAACTAAATACTACCCAAAAAAAAAAAAAAAAAAAGACAGAAAATATAAAATGGAAGGCTTAATTACCCGAGGAATCAGTTCTGGTTGTCTGATTCTGAATCTGTCCTTGTTGCTTTAAAAGAAAGATGAGAATGAACACACACACATATATATATATACATATATTTATCTCATTATTACTTTTCAATCCTTTGTTTTAGGGCCATCACTACCAAATTACTCAGATTTGCACACTGACCTTTACTTACAATCATTAGCAAGGCAAACCCCTAGAGGAGGAAATCTATAAAAAAGTTCTCATGTTTGACAGAAGCTTTCAATTTCCACAGCTTTGAATCTCAGACCTTTGAGTTGGGAAATCACACAAGCTTCTCTTTACTTCTGATAGCACTTCTCATTACTTAAAGAACCATGCACTAATAAATTTTAAAAATAAAAGAACAAAACCCACACAATATGAAGATTCTTGGTGGACCTGGACTTAACCAGAGTTCCCAAAGCCAATCTTTTCCTACCTACTTTGTTTATTCTTTTCTTTCACACCTTTACTCTAGTTAAGCTGGACACATCACTTGCTCCCTCTAATACTCTTACTGTATTTGTCCAGTAAAGAGTACTGCAAAATGGTCTCCTTATGAACTTGTGACTCATATCTGTCCTCCTGCCCCCCCCAGCCATGAGAAATCCCTCTGTAGAGACTACTTGTGAGGCTGGATTTGCAGCTAATATAGCAACATCAACTTTTTTTTTGTCAGTTGTGGGGCACTGTCCTTCAGCTCAAGGTTAGTGCCCTACCACTTGAGCCACAGTGCCACTTCCGGCTTTCTGGTGGTTTATTGGAGATAAGAGTCTCATGGACTTTCCTGCCCAGGATGGCTTTGAACCGTGCTCCTCAGATCTCAGCTTCTTGAGCATCTAGGATTACAGGTGTGAGCCACTGGCACCAGGCAGCACCATCAACTTCTAAGTGGCAAGACACCATCAAGTCCTCTTGCAAGAGTGTGCGCTCCTAAAGGGAGCACTGAAAGGGTTCATCTATCAAGGCTCAAGGCACACAGGGTAAGTATCTCACTGATAAGAGACAATAAACACCCAGCTTAAACAGCAGCTACTCAAAGCACAAGAAAATAGCATTTGCTGTACTGCATCATCCTTTAATTACATTAGCTTAGTCTAATGTAAGAAACATCAATTAAGCTGCCAACATTTTTGCCAACATTTTGCCAAATATTTGAGATTTGGGTAGTATCCTTGCTGTATATTAATTCCTTACTTACCTCTTTTTGTAAGTTTTTTCATAAGTGGGATGTACCAAATCCTCATCTTCAGGTTCTTCTGGAACTTCACAATTTCTAGACAGAAAAATCACAAGGGAATAACACATCGCCCTGGCCTACTCATACAGCTCAAACAATACTTTTCTGCCTTTCCGAAAAGGGTACTCCCAACTATATGGTACCTGAACTGTGGGTCAGGGTTATTGGAGCAATACCATTTTTCAGGAAGTTGATCTATCCCATCTGGTAATTTTCGCCACTTTAGACAAGCATCACATTGAACCCATGTCTGATCAGGACGCTTCCTATAACAAACACATGAACAAAATACAATCTTAACTACTTCACCAGGTTTTCTCTAGAATATCTGCTACATAATACCTATAATTACGTTCCTGAAAATTCCGTGATAACCACATTTACTATATACATCAACTTAAAATTTTAAAAACCATTTTGGTTATCTTCAAAGGGGCAAAGTCACACACCAATACAAACAAGGCAAGTTAAATGTTTTGATTAAGGGGACACTATTAGGCTGGGAATGTGGTTTAGTGATAGAGTGCTTGCCTAGCATGTATGAGGCCCTGGATTTGATTCCTCAGTACCACATACACAGAAAACGCCAGAAGTGGCGCTGCCACTCAAGTGGGAGAGTGCTATCTTTAAAAGAAGCTCAGGGATGGGGCTGGGAAGGTGGCTCAGTGGTAGAGCGCTTGCCTTGCATGCCTGAGGCTCTGGGTTCGATTCCTCAGCACCACATAAGCAGAAAAAGCTGGAAGTGGTGCTGTGGATCAAGTGGTAGAGCGCTAGCCTTGAGCTGAAGAGCTGAGGAACAGCGGCCAGGCCCAGAGTTCAGGCCCCACGACTGGACTCCTCCTCCCCCCCTCAAAAAAAAGAAGCTCAGGGACAGTGCCCAGGCCTGAGTTCAAGCTCTAGGACTGGGGGAAAAAAAAGAGGACACTTTAATTAAACTGGGCATTGATGGCTCACACATATAATCCTCATGGTTCAATCCAGACAAGTCCATGAGAGTCTTTTCTCCAATTAACCAGCAAAAAGTCAGAACTGGAGCTGTGGCTTGCTAGCCTGGAGCACAAAAGTTCAGGGACAGCGCCCAGGCCCTGTGTTCAAGCTACAGAACTAGTACAAAAAGAAGACAGGTGGTGGTGGCTCATGCCTATAATACTAGCTATTCAGGAGGGTGAGATCTGAGGATCATGGTTCAAAGCCAGCTCAGTCAAGAAAGTCTATGAGACATATCTCCAATTACCCACCAGAAAACTGTAAGTGGAACTATGGCTCAAAGTGGTAGAAAACTAGTCTTGAGCAAAAAATGCTCAGGGCAACAAAAAGGCCCCGAGTTCAAGCCCCACAATTGACTAAAACACAAAAAAATTTTAATAAAGCAAAGGGCTTCATACCTATAATTCTAGTTATCCAAGAGGCTGAGATCAGAATGACCCAAACTAGCTTACGCAATAAAGTCCTTGAGACTCCATCTCCAATTAGCCAGCAAAAGCCAGCTGAAGACATGACTCAAGTGACAGAGTGCTAGCTAAAAGAAACTTGAGATTCTGAGTTCAAGGCCTGATACCAACAAATAATTAAAAATCAATAAACCAAGTTATGAGGGTATAGCACAGTGAGAAAGGGCTTAGCTAACATATGCAAAGCTTTGGTATTGATCCCCAATACTTCACAAATAAATAAATATTTACATTCGGGGGTGGGTGGGTGTGATGGGAAGGGATGGTAAGGGGAAACAAAGGAGGAGGCAACAATGCTTAATAAGAACCCTGCCCATTGGGGCTGGGAAGGTGGCTCAGTGGTAGAGCGCTTGCCTTGCATGCCTGAGGCCCTGGGTTCGATTCCTCAGCACCACATAAGCAAAAAGAAAAAAGCCGGAAGGTGGCACTGTGGCTCAAGTGGTAAAGCACTAGCCTTGAGCTGAAGAGCTGAGGGACAGGGCCCAGAGTTCAGGCCCCACAGCCAGACCCCCCCCCAAAAAAAAAGAATCTGTCCATGAAATTGTAACCCCTCTCTATGGTATTTTCACAATAAAAATAATTTACATTCCTATAAAACTACAAATTATTTTATAAAACATTGCTTCAAGGGATTGCTACTGTTAATATTTAAATCCTGGCAGAAATTTTTCATGCTTATAAATGCAAAATTGATATATTGAACAGTATCTTTTTTTTTTTTTTGGGTCTGGTCGTGGGGCCTGAACTCTGGGCCTGGGCGCTGTCCCTCAGCTCTTCAGCTGAAGGCTAGCGCTCTACCACTTGAGCCACAGTGCCATTTCCGGCTTTTTTCTTATGTGGTGCTGAGGAATCGAACCCAGGACCTCGAGCATGCAAGGCAAGTGCTCTACCACTGAGCCACCTTCCCAGCCCTGAACAGTATCTTTCTTATCTTTTACTCTAGTTGGTTATCTTTCCCTACCAATACATTTATGTAGTATTCACTCATTCATCAGATTCTTTTTTTTTTTATTGTGAAAATACTGTACAGAGGGGTTACAATTACATAGGCAAGATAATGAGTACATTTCTTATCAAGCCCCTTCCCATCACTTCCATCCTCCCCCCTCATCAGATTCTTGGTATGTGTCAGGTGTGTTTCCAGGGCTTGCCAGGCAGTGCTCTTAATTCTTACAATGCTCAGTGTTTAATTCAGACACCTGAACACAACGACAGCCTACAGAATGATTATTCATACCAATGCTTCTCAAAATATAAGCATTTTTAGAATGGTCATATCTATGTATGTCGTACATTCAGCTAAATATTGTTTATGAGTTCTGTATGTAATGCATACCTAAACCATTTTTTTTTGTAGTGTGCTGATTGATATTGTACATTTCTTACCATGAGTAAGTTGTAAGTATATGAAACACTGTATGTATACTCTAATATTCTATCTTTTTTTTTTTTGGGGGGGGGGGCCAGTCCTGGGACGTGAACTTAGTCTGCGCACTGTCCCTGAGCTTCTTTTACTCAAGGCTAGCACTCCACTAGACTTGAACCACAGGGCCACTTCCAGCTTTTTCTTTTTTTGTCAGTCGTGGGGCTTGAACTCTGGGCCTGGGTGCTGTCCCTGAGCTCTTCAGCTCAAAGCTAGCATTCTACCACTTGAGCCACAGTACCACGTCCAGTTTTCTGAGTGGTTTATTGGAGATAAGAATCTCACAGTCTTTCCTGCCCGGGCTAGCTTTAAACTGAGATCCTCAGATCTCAGCCTCCTGAGTAGCTAGGATTACAGGTGTGAGCCACCAGCGCCCTGCCAGCTTTTTCTGTTTATGTGGTACTGAGAAGTCGAACCCAGGATTTCATGTATGCTAGGCAAGCACTTTACCACAAGCCACTTTTCTAGCTCTCTAATATACTGTATCTTGATATCCGCTATGGTGACTTGGTATTTTTTCTATATGAACTTACTGTATATCTTCAACTGGCAAGCTTAGAGGATATTCTGCATTTTTCTTCACTTTCATTTCATTCCAGTAATCATTGAGCTTTTCTCCTAATGCTGTTATTGTAAGCCTTAAAAAAAAAAAAAGTTGTAAAATGTCAGATCAATTCAAGAAAAAATATTATGACTGAAATTTTTTCAAATATAAAACAAATAATCTAGCAATGATTACATGGACACAGTGAGGAAGGAGAACTTTCAAAATGTGGGGTTAATAGACAATATTCAAAGTAACAATCTTCTATAAGGACCCTCATAAGTTCCTAAGGCAAAGATAGTATTATCTAGGAAGGAAGACACAAGACAGTAACAGGGCTATAAGGAATACCCAGTACAGTACAATGGTGACCTAATATACATAAAGTCTGAGTTAATCCCCAGCATCATGAAAAATAAACATGAAGAGATAAATAGATAATAGATAAAATAGATGGACAGACAGACAGACAAAAAAAGAGGGAGAGGACGGAGGGAAATGTGGGGGGTATGGTTGAAAGACCTAACAACAGCAATATGCTGGATTTCTGTTGAGAAAGTACACTGGAGAACCAAAGTCTCCTTACATTTGAAGTCTAACCAATAAACTTACAGGTTCAATTAAAATCAGAACTCAGCTTTTGTTTTTGAAAGGCATTGTTTCTAGTACATATAGTTCGAAACCACTTATGTCCTACAATTAAGACTTCTAAAGCTGGAAGCTCATGCCTACACCCTAGATATTCAGGAGGGTGAGTTCTGAGAATAGCAGTTCAAAACCAGGTGTCAAGCTAACCTGGGCAAACATCCCGAAACACTCTTATCACTAGTTAACCACTAAGAAGCCAGAAGTGGAGGTGTGACTCAAGTGGTAGAGTGCCAGCCTGACTGGAAAAGACAAGTGAGCCTGGTGCCAGTGGCTCATGCCTGTAACCCTAGCTAACTCAGGAAGCTGAGATCTGAGGATCACAGTTCAAAGCCAGCCTGGGCAGGCAAGCCTGTGAGACTCTGATCTCCAATTAACCACCAGAAAATCCGGAAGTGGTGCTGTGGCTCAAGTGGTAGAGTGCATGCCTTGAGCTGAAGGACAGTGCCCAGACCCAGAGTTCAAGCCCCATGACTGACCCCCCCCCAAAAAAAAGTAAAGTAAAGTGAGAGGGCAAGGCCCTGAGTCCAAGCCCCAGAAACGGCACAAAGAAAAAACTTACCAAGTGTTATTCTGGTTTTAAGAAAAAGCTCATGAGTTTAGTTTTTCTATTGAAAATTTTTTATGTATTTTTTTTATTTAAATAGTTGTACAAGGTTTCAACTCAACATGTCGGTCTGAGTAGAATGCATCTAGGAGTTTTCTTTTCTTTTTCTTTGGAGTTCGTCCTGGAGCTTGAACTCAGGGCTAGCATTCTACCACTGAAGCCACAGCTCTGCTTCTGACTTTTTTGGTGATTAACTAGAGATAAGAGTCTCACAGACTTTCTTGCCCAGGCTGGCTTTGAACCATGATTAGCTAGGTTAACAACAGATGTAAATCACCAGTGTCCATTGAGTTTTCTCTTTTTAAAATTAATTTGGAAGCCAGGCACCGGTGGCTCACGCCTGTAATCCTAGCTGCTCAGGAGGCTGAGATCTGAGGATCGCAGTTCAAAGCCAGCTCCAGCAGGAAACTCCGTGAAACTCTTATCTCTAATAAACCACCAGAAAACTGGAAGTGGCACCGTAGCTCAAGTGGTAGAGCACTAGCCTTGAGCTGAAGAGCTGAGGCACAGCGCCAGACCCAGAGTTCAAGGCCCATGACTGACAAAAAAAAAAAATTAATTTGCAGCTGGAGGCATGGCTCAGTAGAGAATAGCTTTTCAAAGTCAGGCTACCTAATCACCCACACCAATTTGGAATTTAGCTCCCTTGGCTTCATTATCTTTTTCATACGTTGGTGGATGGCATTTGCCATTATAGCAATTGATAAAATGAACTAATGTTAATGTATTAGTTTTCTGGTTGTTTTTGTTTTTGAAGGAGGGTAAGCTGAGACAAGGTCTTGACACAGGCCCCTCCCCCTCTTTTTCTTTCTTTTTCACAGTTGTAATGAAAAGTCTAGTAAAGAGAAAGTAAAAGCCACTCAGGAGAGTAAGCAGCAGAACCCGGAAACCAGTTGTCTATCTTGGGGTCAGGAACAGGCTGTTTTGTATTGTGCCTCCCCACCTTCCTCTCCTCCCTTCTGGCTATTTATTAGATGGAGATTAGTTTATTTGAAACAAGCCAGATCATTCCCTGGGTGGTGGCCTGTAGGAGGGCTGCCCTACTCTGTGGTAGGACCCAAGACTCTTCCCTGGGTAGTCTTGCTATGTACCTTGGGCTGCCATTGAACTTGTGATCCTCCTGTTTGCAGAACATTAAGGAGTATGTGTGAAGCTTGAGCCACTTGTTTAAATGTTTGGATTTAGAAGGTGGGAAATTCTTTAAAGGAATGTGGCCATACTATCTCAAAAAGTATGAAAATCTCATGCTATCCTGTTAACGTTTTTGTTCACAGGAACTGGAATGCCTTCATTTTCCATTTCTGAGCATTTTTATTTTCTTTTGTTTCTTCCCAAGGTTTTTGTGGTGTTTTTGTTTTTTGCCAGTCCTTGAACTCAGGGCCTGGGTCATATCCCTCTATATGTTCAAGGCTAGCGCTCCACATTTGAGCCACACAGTGGCAGTTCCAGCTTTTTCTGTGCCCAGATATTCACTAGTTTTTCCATATGTTTATAGACTATTATTGATCTTATCAAAGGCTTTTTGAGAATGCCAATCATCCACTTAATCCTGTCCAGGTTCGGGACTGTTATCCATCTAGAGCTCCTGCTATGTCCTCTACCACCAGCAGCCCACAACTTCCAGAAGCATCTTCTACAGTTCAGGCATTGGGCTGGCCTTCTTACTGACTGACTGCAAGTTTACTATGGAAATATTTCCATAAATCCTGTAACTTCTAAGCTATCTTGCCATCTGAGGGCATCTTATATTTCACTTTACAAAATTATGAGTATATGATAGGAAAGTGGTTAAGGGGCTTATATATAAAACACATTTACCTTCTTCCATCTTAGGAAATATAATACATTCCATTCCATCCCAAGTAGAATTTTGTTGTTTATTGATGAAGCACAATTCTGAATACCAGGTACCCCATTTCTTAAGAATCCAGTCACAGCTGGATGCTGGGCTCTATAATCCTTTGCTACTCAGGAGGCTGAGATCTGAGGATCATTGTTCAAAGCCAGACTAGATAAGAAAGTCTGTGAGGATCTTGTCACCAACTGACTACCAGAAAACCAGAACTGGTACTGTGGCTCTAAGTGGTAGAACACTAGCCTTGAGCAAAAGAGCTCAGGGCCCCAACCCAAGACTGGAGTTCAAGCCCCACTACTAACAAAAAATCTCAGTCACAGCTAGGCATGGTGGCTCATATCTATAATCTTAGCTGCTCTGGAGGCTGAGATCTGAGGATTATGGTTCAAAGCCAGCCCAGGCAGAAAAGTCTGTGAGATTCTTATCTCTGATTAAGCACCAAAAAAGCTAGAAGAACTATGGTTCAACTGGTAGAGCACTAGCCTTGAGCACAAAAATCTCAGGAACAGTGCTCAGGCCCTAAGTTCAAGCCCCAGTATCAGCACCAAAAAAAAAAAAAAAAACACTCAGACATTAATAGTTAACATACCTGTACTCATTAGTATAGTCAAAATCTTGCTTATTGTGAGTTGGCTTGAGGAAATTGCACTCTATAATTCCAACTACTCCAACACCCATGTTGTTTGCCTGAAATAACAAAACAAAATTAGCATTTTCAGGATAACTCGTGATGCTCAAAGTACCCTTCAACAAAGACAGTCTGTATAAAATATTTTCCTGTATATTCCCATATTCAATATATAGCCATTCAAACAAATATCATCATCAATTTTATACAAAGGGAAAAGACATCACTATATTAGGATATGATTTCTTAGAGGAGCCACAAATAACTCAGAAAAAAAAGTTTAAATGCCATACTGATGTTTAAAAAGATCAACATATAAAAGTCACAGGCAAAACAATGACCGAATAACATTATTCTAATTTGTTTAAAAAGCAAAACATTTTCTTTTCAAATATAAGGCTTACCCGCAACTGACATCCAACTTTTTCATATGCTTTGATGAGTCTATTTCGGTGATACATCATTATCCCATAGTGGTCTTTGTTTCTGCAGTTGAATCCAAAAGTAATTCGAACTGTTCTAGTCTTAAAAAGTTAAGGAAAATTCTGAACACAACCTCCCATTCCCTTCCAATCATCATTGCTAGTTCACTATGAGAAAGCCCCAATGCTCATAGAAAAGGTCAGAATCCCTAGTAGGACGAAAGGGTAAAGGGAGGAAGGTTAGGATTTACTGACATCTTAGCAGCACAAAATGAAGGATACTAAAAATTTAGGTCGATAAACATCACGTTCGATGTAGGCAAGACTCTTGGAAACTAGCTGTGTCTTCACTTTCTGTCCACGTAAGATGATCTGCATTCTTGGCTTTAGATATAATATACTGCAGTAAGCCTGCAAAGAAACAGCAATATTTGTCCTTTCAAAATAATGATCTAATGATCTAGCTGGGAGCTGGTGGCTCACGCCTGTAATCCTAGCTAACTCAGAAGGCTGAGATCTGAGGATCGAGGTTAAAAGCCAGCCTGGGCAGGAAAGTCCATGAGATTCTTATCCCCAATTAACCACCAGAAAACTGAAAGTGGCACTGTGGCTCAAGTAGTAGAGTGCTAGCTTAGAGCTCAGGGACAGGCCCCAGGCCCAGAGTTCAAGCCCCACAACCAACAACAACAACAAAAAAGATCTATAGATTTGATTATACTCAGATTTGATGGCAAAAATGCTATTAGACTGGGTTAGTAACAGACACATTAACTCTTCAATAAAATAACAAACTAGCTCAGTGTTAAAATGTGTACTAAGCAGGCATCAGTAGCTCATGCCTATAAACCTATCTACTCAGGTTGGCTGAGATCTGCTGGGTCACTGTTCAAAGCCAGCCCAAGCAGGAAAGTCTGTGAGACTCTTATTTCCAATTAACTACCAAAAAGCTGGAAGCAGCGCTACGGCTCAAGTGACAGAACGCTAGCTTTCAACTGAAGAGCTAAGGGACAGTGCCCAGGCCCAGAGTTCAAACCCCACAACCCAAAAAGAAAAAAAAAAGTGTATTCAGCATGTGAACTCAAGGCTCAATCCTCATCACCAAAAAATAAAATACAGAATGCATATAAAGCTGTACTTCATGCTACTGTGACTAATTTTCATTAAAAAATAAATGTAGCCAGACACAATAGCTCACACCTATAATCTTAACTATATGAGATTAAGAGCATCCTAGTTATAAGTGAGCTCAACCGAAGTCTACCTATCAGACTTCATCTTAACCAATAAAAAGCTGGGTGTGTGCTTGCCATACCAACTATGTAGGAAGCGTAAATATTATTGCTCAGCCTTGGTATAAATGCAAAACTATCTGAAAACTAACTAAAGCACAAGGAGCCAAAGAAGTGGGTCATGTAGCAGAGTGCTTGCCTACCAAGTTCAAGACCTTGAGTTCAAATGCCAGTTCTGAGAGGAAGAAAGTATTAGCGTTAATAACGTGGTTAGTAAAAATGGTCTTTAGTAACAGTCTACTGAAATAGCTATCAAGATACTGACGTTATCAAGTGAACAAAATTTTTTTGGTGTATGATTTGTATTTTTAAGTACAAAGGACAACTTTTTACATGGCAATTGAATATTGACCGATTGATATTATTAACTATAATCATTTTATTTAGGTAAAAATAATTAGCAAGAGCTAATATAAACAAGATTATATAAGATTGACGATGAAAAAAATCTAAATAATGCACTAATATTTAAGCAAAGTAGGAAGCACAATGCTTTTTAAAAAGGGAGTAGTGGACTGGGAAGGTGGCTCAGTGGTAGAGCACTTGCCTTGCATGCATGAGGCCCTGGGTTCGATTCCTCAGCACCACATAAGCAAAAAGAAAAAAAGCAGGGTGGTAGAGCGCTTGCCTTGCATGCCTGAGGCCCTGGGTTCGATTCCTCAGCACCACATAAGCAAAAAGAAAAAGCCAGAAGTGGTGCTGTGGCTCAAGTGGTAGAGCGCTAGCCTTGAGCTGAAGAGCTGAGGGACAGCGCCCAGGCCCTGAGTTCAGGCCCCACAACTGGACCCAAAAAAGAAAAAAAAAAAAGAAAAGAAAAAAAGCCAGAAGTGGTACTGTGGCTCAAGTGGTAGAGTGCTACCCTTGAGCTGAAGAGCTGAGGGACAGCACCCAGGCCCAGAGTTCAGACCCCACGACCGGACCCCCCCACCTCACCAAAAAAAGGGAGTTGTGCAGGTTGAGAAGGTGGCTTAGTGGTAGAGCACTTGCCTTGCATGCATGAGGCCTTGGGTTCAATTCCTCAGCACCACATAAAGCAGAAAAAGCCGGAAGTGGCACTGTGGCTCAAGTGGTAGAGCGCTTGACTTGAGCTGAAGAGCTGAGGGGCAGTGCCCAGGCCCAGAGTTCAGGCCCCACAACCGGCCCCGCGCCCCCCCCCCCCCCACCAAAAAAAGGCAGTTGTGCAGGTTGAGAAGGTGGCTCAGTGGTAGAGCGCTTGCCTTGCATGCATGAGGCCTTGGGTTCAATTCCTCAGCACCACATAAAGCAGAAAAAGCCGGAAGTGGCACTGTGGCTCAAGTGGTAGAGCGCTTGACTTGAGCTGAAGAGCTGAGGGACAGTGCCCAGGCCCAGAGTTTAGGCCCCACGACCAACAGGGGGGGAAAAAAAAAAGGAAGTTGTGGCCAAACACATTAAAATATTCAGATAATTAAGAAACTTGACCAAACTCCATGATCTAAAACATAATAACACAAGATGCTCTTTGGTGTCTCCCTCCATAGAGTGAAAACTGTGAAGAGCACGCACTATGTAACTCAAAGATGAGATTCAACAAAACTAAAATGTCAGCATTCCCTCCTCCAACCAGATTTCCAAAGAAGTGGTGTTTTGTCAGTTATAAAATTAATGATATTTTAAAACATTATATGTGCCAAGTACCAGTGGTTCCTTCCTGCAATCCTAGGAGGTTGAGATCTGAGGATCCCAACTGAAGCCAGCCTGGGCAGGAAAGGCCCCGAGACCCTTATCTCTAATTAATCACAGAAAAAGCAGGAGGTGGCACTGTGGTTCAATTGGTAGAGTACTAGTCTTGAGCAAAAAAGCAGCTCAAGGACAGTGCTCCAGGTGCCCTCAGGACTGGCAAAAACAAAACAAAACAAAAAACCTAAACCTCCAAATCTGGCTTTTTCATGGTTAATATGAGTTTCAAGGACTTTTCTGCCCAGTTTGACCTCACATTAATTTGATTCTTGTCTGAGATATTTTCTTCCTTTTTTTTTTTTTGTCAGTCATGGGGCTTGAACTCTGGGCTTGGGGGCTGTCCCTCAGCTCTTCAGCTCAAGATGAGCGCTCTACCACTTAAGCCACAGTACCACTTCCAGCTTTCTGGTGGATTATTAGAAGTAAGAGTCTCACACACTTTCCTGCCGGGCTGGCTTTGAATCATGATCCCAATCTCAGCTTCCTGAGTAGCTAGGATTAGAAGTGTGAACCGTGGGTGCCCAGTCAGATATTTTCATTGCCACATCACTGGCTGTCTGTCACAGGATGCTAGTATTTCCATGACCTATGACTCTCTCTTCCATGAAGACAGATACATACCCTCAAGGAATAGTCACTCTCAGGGGCAATTTGGTCCATCCTCTCTTGCTTCTTGTATCCTTTTTTTCCTGCTATCTCATCTAAATCCTCAGGGATTCTGATATCATATTTATCCTTTTCAAAGTCAAATTCTGTTGCATTTTTGTAGCTGTAAAAATAATTTTTAAAGAGAAACAAAATTTAACTTTGCATCAGAATAAAGGATCAAATACCAAGTCTTTAGGAGGGGAGAAACCAAATAAGCGAAAATTAACCTAAAAAGCTGAGTGCTGATGGCTCACACCTGTAATCCTAGCTACTAAGAAGGCTGAGATCTGAGGATCAAGGTTCAAAGTGAGCATAAGCAGAAAAGTTGGTGAGTCTCTTATAACCAATTAAACACCAGAAAACCAGAAGTAGAGCTGTGGCTCAAAATGGTAGAGCTCTAGCCTACCTGAGCAAAAGAGCTCAGGGACAGAATCCAGGCCCTGAGTTCAAGCCCCATGACCCACAAAAAACAAACAAACAAACATAAAAAGACCTAAAAACAGCAGACTTCCTGGGGGGTGCAAGGTGCAAAGTAAGCAAAGAGAAAGAAAAGGAATCAGAAAGATCATATGACATAGCATTTACACCGTTGGGCATTTTATCTTTAGAAAATGAAAACTGTATTCCCACAACCACAGTACAAGACTGTTTGTAGCACTGCTTGTAGTAGCACTCAAGTGTGAACCCAGACATACTTTCACCAGGTGAGTGGCTAAACCCAACTGAGTCTGTCCATTCCATATGCTACTAGCAGGAAAAGTAAACTGATACACATAAGGAACTGGATATACATACCTCCGGAGAAGTAAAAAAAAAAAAAAAAAAAAAAGTTCTACTTAGACAACATTAAAGTGACAAAAGTACAGAAAAGAGAACAGTTAAGAGGCAGCCAGAGACTAAGCGGGGAGAGGAAGAAGGAAGCCGGTGAGTCCATGAACAAGAAAGATGTCTGTGGTGAGGAATATTTCTTGTTTTGACTTCATCTATGACAATATCCTGTCACTGTCAACAGACTATTGTGATTATAGATCTACAGCGGGTTATCCCTGGGAAAGGGCACATGACATTTCTGTATTATTTCTTAGAATTACACATAAGTCTGCATCTCAAAATAGAGGTTAAGAAAATTAATTAATAGGGCTGGGAAGGTGGCTCAGTGGTAGAGTGCTGGCCCCGCATACGTGAGGCCCCGGGTTCAATTCCTCAGCACCACATAAGCAGAAAAAGCCAGAAGTGGCACTATGACTCAAGTGGTAGAGTGCGCTTGTCTTGAGCTAAAGAGCTAAGGGATGGCACTCAGGCCCAGAGTTCAGGCCCACAACCAACAAAAAAAAAAAGAAAAGAAAAAAAGAAAATTAAGGGGGGGAAAAAGAGTTTAATTTTAAATTTTTTAATTAAAAAGAAGAGCTTAATTAAGAAAAAAAAGTTTCCAGGAGGATGGTTGGAGTAAAAGAAAAGAGAAAATTAAAGAAAAAAGTTAATTGAAGAGGACAGAAAAAAATCCAAGTTTTAAAGTTCTTTAGGCTTACCATAATTTATGCTTTATTTCAATGGTTCAGTATCTTAACCTCTCACTATTACACATTAATCCTAAATGTTAAAGTTCTTATTTGCAAGGGCTTTGTTCCTCACATGATGAAGGACTACACATTTTAGGAAGACAAAGTTCTCATCTGTGTTTCTTTTCTGACCAGGCGCTCATGCTTAGCTTTCAGTACAAACAAAATGGATAAAGATCTCCATCTTAACTCACAATCTGCACTCGTTGGGGCTTGAGATTTTTCACTTTTTTTTGTTTTGTTTTAGAATAGAGTGAACAGAATGCTATTTTGGAGACAAAAATGGCAGAAACAGGAACTTTTTAAACAGCAATATGAAATACCTCAAATTGAAATCAAAGCAGCAGCAATAAAATGCCCTTGGAAAAGACAATTACTGAACGCGCCCCAAACAGGCACCTCTCTGCACTTTTCCTATGTGACAAGGGGTCAACATGGTGAAACCAGTCCTGCAAACGGTCAACAACTAGCTGAGGTCTACATTTACCTTCTAAGATTCCAAATGATGATCCTTGTCCCCTTCTTACCCATAATAGCATCAAGTTCTGCCAGTAATTTCTGCTCTGTAGAAAACAGAGAATGTTCCAGAATTGCAGCAAGGCTTGCTTTTGATTCTGCTAAATTAATCATCTGCTGTATGTCCTTAGTTAAAGAATGATAACCAACATACTTTGCACAATTATAGTACAGAAACAACTTTAATAAACATCAGAAGAATTATTTCCTAAATTAAATGGCAGTGTGTTTCCAAAAGAACACCAAGGACAGTAAGTAGCCAGGTACAGTTGCCCATCTCAAATCTCAGATACCAAGGAGACTGAGTGAGGTAGAAAGATTTTAAGTTTAAGGCCAGATAGATAACACAGTAAGATCCTAACTTGACCTTAAAACAGAAAAGGGGGCAGGGGAAGCGACTTCATTATTATTTCTATTTTATTGCTCTCTAGTACACTTCATGAAATTTTACAGAAGGCACTTTAAGTTATCCTACATTTCATTGTCATTAAGGAAAACGTCCAAGCCAGAACAGAAACTGTATTAGTCCACAATTAGCCTGAAACGAGAAGAGCTATGAGCTAGTGTGGTGGTATGAGCCAGATGTGCTAGTTCACACCTGTAACCCCAGCTACTCATAGGAGGCTGAAGCAGGAGGATGGTTAGTTTGAGGACACTGTGGGAGCATAGCAAGAACCTATGTTCAAAGCAACAGACAAGAGCTATGAAATAAACTGTTTTGCAATATTGGGAATGGAACTCAGCGTCTTACACACCATAGGTAAGCACCTGCCATCACTGAGATGACATCCCCAGCCCTGAACAGAGAAAAGGTCAAATCTTCAGCTTCAGGTGTAGGGTAAGGGCAGTGGACACAGACAAAAATTAGAATGTATCTGGTTAAAACCTCAAGAATTTGGTTGGGTGTAGTGGCACCTACTTCTAATTCCAAAATTTGGGAGGAAGAGGCAGGAAGACTACTACTAGTCTGAGACCAGTTTGGTCTACTGGAAGAAACTGTCACAAAAAATCACTACTGCCAGGTGCCGGTGGCTGTAATCCTAGCTACTAAGGAGGCTGAGATCTGAGGACTGCAGTTGAAAGCCAGCCGGGGCAGGAAAGTCCATGAGACTCTTATCTCTAATAAACCACCAGAAAACCAGAGAGTGGCGCTATAGCTCAAGTGGTAGAGTGCTGGCCTTGAGTCGAAGAGGGACAGCGCCCAGGCCAAGCGTTCAAGCCCCACAACCACCACCACCACCAACAACAACAACAACAAAAAATCACCACCATTACTATAAAATATAAAAACTTGAAGGAAGGCAAAAAGATGGGGTGTTCAGAATATATATACATTTTTTTTCTACACCTTTTATTTCAAAATCAAAAAAGGATATGGTGCTTGTTGAATGCCACAATTGGAACAACAACATGTTCTGCTTTTATGACTTCCAGGTAGGTCTGAGATAAGAAGCCCACGCTCATACTTTCTCCATTTTTGGTAAAAACGATTGCATCTTTACCCAAACGCATAGAACCCGACTTGAAGCCATTCCCATACAATCCAACTGGGACATGACCATTCATGGTAACTTTGTCACTGAAGCCAAAGCTAAAAAGAAAGATACGAAAAAAAAATTAACATTTATCATACTCAATTTTAAATTTTTTAATTAAGTGTCATTACCAAGTACAAAGCCTGAGTTCAAATGATAACTTCACTTTTGCTGACTGTATAATTACTGCATATTACTACCTTGATGTCTTCCCCATTTCTGGATTTTTGGGTTTTTTTTGTTGGTTGTAGAACCTGAATTCTGGGCCTGGGCGCTGTCTCCCAGCTCTTCAGCTGTAGACCAACGTTCTACCAATTGAGCCTCAGCCCCACTTCCGGTTTTTTCTGCTTACATGATGCTGAGGAATCGAACCCAGGGCCTCATGCATGCAAGGCAAGCACTCTACCACTGAGCCACCTTCCCAGCCCCTCTTCCCCATTTCTGAATTATAGGAAATCAATTCTGCATCACCCAGACACAGGATTTCGGGTAATTACATAGGAGCGCATTGCCTGGCACACACAGATAAAGGTATGAGTTATCATCTGGGTTCCTAGGAGATCTCTGAATCTCTTCCTCTAGATAAGAATAACCCTCTTGTTCTCAGTGGCCTATGCACTGTGATCAGTGATGGGTCAATGTAACTTTCTGACAGCGTAAGGAATACTTTAGTGACAGCAGAAGGACTCTGTGCCTAAATTCCCCCTCTACCTCTACCCTGTATACCTGTACTGTATTGGTTCTATTCTAGGCACATTTGACTTACACTGACATCCTGTTTTAACACGAATATCCACTCATGAGTAAATGGCTATCGATAGTATGTGACAACTGGAAATGATGGAATGGTAGAATGTAAGACATAGGGAAGGGTGAGGAGAATAGTGGGACTGCCTAACAACCTGCCCAGCCTCTCCCGAGTGTGGTGCAGTTTTACATACCTCAGCATTTTATGCAACTTATCTGGTGTCATACCATTCCCGTTATCAGTGAATGTCAAGCATATACGGTTATTTATCACAGTTTTGTCAATCCATATCTGTTTAGCATTCACATCAGGATCGTAAGCATTATCTGGAGAATAAGTGATTTTGAGAAATTTTGAGTCCACATTCTAAAGAAGAGTAGTTAGTTCAGAACAAATTTTAATAAGCAACAGAGTATCATATTTAATCTTACTTTTCAGACAATTTTCAGGAACCCCTAAGGTAAAAAAACATAAAACTAGGGCTGGGAATGTGGCTCAGTGGTGGAGTGCTTGCCTTGTGTGCATGAGGCCCTGGGTTCCATTCCTCAGCATCACATAAGCAGAAAAAGCTGGAAGTGGCAGAGTGCTCACCTTGAGCTGAAGAGCTCAGGAAGAGTGCCCAGGCCCAGTGTTCAGGCCCCATGACAAAAAAAAAAAAACAAAAAAAAAACACCATGAAACTAAACTACATTTAGTGACTGCAGAATTAACCCTTTCCAAATCCTTTCTGCCTAAGTAGGGAGCAAAGGCTGGTAACTGCCACAGGGAAGATATATACACTATCTCTGCAGAGATGATTAACAGGAGGGCCAGTCTGACTATCCTCAGGGAAACTGAGAACTTGGGTTTGACAGGGAAGTTACATAATAGTTACTAAATAATGAGAAGATAGTATCATTATCTGCTAAGCTACATGCACAGGTGGAAGATTCACCTTGCGGGAATGTCTATGATCATGGCCCTACTCAGTTTCATCAGTTTCTGTGGCTTTGCATTTCTGTCACCCTTACTGAACATATTCATTTCAATCAAATAGTAAACAAAGAGATGAACTATAATAAAATCAAGTGGTAAGTTATCCAAATAACTTAAGACAACTGAAATATATTTGGATGTTTTAAAATATAAATAATGGGGGCTGGGCTGGGAAGGTGGCTCAGTGGTAGAGCGCTTGCCTTGCATGCCTGAGGCCCTGGGTTCGATTCTTCAGCACCACATAAGCAAACAGAAAAAAGCCGGAAGTGGTGCTGTGGCTCAAGTGGTAGAGCGCTAGCCTTGAGCTGAAGAGCTGAGGGACAGCGCCCAGGCCCAGAGTTCAGGCCCCAC